TATATTTTAGCTGATTAATAGGACCTTGTGAAAATATGTTTTAGTAGAAATCCTGTTTGTTCTTCAACATTTATAAGTCTTTTAAAATAATGGTGAGTTTTAAAATAACAGTATTTTAAAATAGAGACTTCAAACTCCCTTTCTTCCATTCTGGGCATTCACTGCTTCTAGAATTTAAGCCAAACCCAAAATAAGCCTTTTGGTCTATGCTATTAGTGTTTAACTTGTAAAAGGAAAAAGAATAAATTGAAACTTAATATGATTTCAATTTATTAGCCCACGGGGTAAAGAATTCTAATTTTAAATTTTGTTTTATTATTCATTTCAATTATACAGTACATTGGTTAGACATTTTATAGTTTATGAAATGGGAAAAATTTTGATCTAAGGACCCAGAAATCAGTCTCACCAAGGTCTGGAAGGAAATAGACAGAGATGACATTTTTAGGTTAGGATGACACATATGACCTCTGCTAACCAATTATTTTACTTGTCTTAATACAGACTAAAACAAGATTAATTTGCTTTCATGATTGTTATTCATTGAAAAGGCAATTATAAAATTTCATCTGTTCTTGCTATCATCAAAGAATATAAACATAACATCTTTGTGCTCAAATATAAAGCTATCAATAGCTATCAGCTACAAAACATTTCTTTATTTGTTTTTTGAAATCAGCATAATTAACTTAAAATATATTTCATTATTAAACAAGATTATAAAAGAATTAGTTCAAACAAATCTGAGATTTTTTAAAAAATTTATAGAACCAAGCCAATATACAGTAAAATTAAGGAATAAATTGACCAGTTATTTCAATATAATATCACAAGCCATTTTTTTCTGTAAAGGACTAAATATTAGGTACAATCACAAACATTTCATCATCCATCAAAACCAAGATCATACAATTGCCCCAAGAAAACACACTGAAATTCTTCAACATAGCATAAGGTAGGGGCTATAGACATTTGAAAAACAGTTCCAAAACTGAAATACTAAATATACAACATTAATTATTAATAAATTCATTACAATAATGAGCTTAAACATCATAGAATATAAGTCTGAAATACAGATATACAGGCAACTACCTTCATGAGTGGAAATCCTAATTATATTATTAATAATTGTTAATTAATTAATTATTTTCAGATTTAGTCTCAGATTTTCTTTTCTGTATAATATTGGCTAATTTGACCCTGAAACATAAAAATATTTAGTTGACTTGATAACACTATTTATTTATTTATTTATGTTTTTTAGGTGAGGCAACACTTGGTTGACCTCACAGATTGCAAGAACCTTGTCAGTTTACAATCCCTTATTTTTTTTATTTTCTACGCCTACAGCACCTGGTCTTCCTATGTGGTCTCCCATCCAAGTACTTACCAGGCCCAACCCTGCTTAGCTTCTGAGATCAGACAGGATCGGGCTTGTTCAGTGTAGTATGGCCATAGACGCTTTGTTTTTATTTAGAAAATAAATTAATGTAAAGAGATGTGATGTGATTTTATATTATATAAAATAAAATAATGGTGTTTAACTTTTAGCCATAATATATATTTTTGGTGCTGATATACTATAGCACATATATTTTTTTCATTCATAATTTACTAGACCTAAAAATTGAGTTAGAACAATATTTTTTAAATGCCTATATATGCAATGGAATCACACAATTTATATGACTCAACCCATTTAGGCTAACTTGGGGACATAACTCTTATGACTAGTCCTTAAATTTTGGCTCAAATTGGCTGAGGTAAAATTATAATCAAGAATCATTCTCTAATATTTATTGTCCTGTGTTACACATGATTCCAAGTGTTGCCAGTGACACTAAGTCTATGTTGCTAGTGACACTATGTACTAACAGGGTCACAGGAAGGGAGAGTGACTGCTTCTGCACCTCCCAAACTAGCATTCCGGATGGCCCTGCCCTGAGCTTACTCTGGACAGAACTGATGCCTTCTGGGGTGAAAATCCATAAGGTCTCAGTTTACATGGACCTAAAGGAGACTAATTTCTGATATTTGGGGTGAAGAACTAGGCTTGATATCTCCCTAGATGGCTCCTACTTATGCTTTAGTGGTAGAGTAAACTCTGAGCTATAATTTAAACCTGCAAAATGTAGGTTTCAGAACCTGAAAAACATAAAACTTTAATGTAATTGGATTAATTTACTTGTGTAATAACTTAATCACCAATGGTTTGTCCATTATTAGGATCTATAATAAGTTTGGGTGGCTACTACATATTATTAGGACTACTTGATTTTTTTTTTTTTTTAAAATCGCACCCTTCCCTCAATCATGACTGAAGTCTTCTTTGATGATAATAGAAATTTTGAATGTAGGACAATATATAATTAACAAAAGAATTTCACTAACTTTCTCCATGGTTATGTTCCAAATAAAATTTCAATATAAAATATAGCTGAGTAATTTTACACCTTAAAAATATATGTCCAAAAATTAACCTGTTAAGCACTTTATGTACTTTAAAATGTACTTAAAATGTTTCTTTTTCATCATCGATTAATATTTATCAGATGCCCAACAGACAATACCAATTTCTTCTTACCAGTAGATTATTTATCAATCACAAGCTTCTCAGCCTAAACCACAGAGAATAAGATCATATACTTGCCTAGTGTAAAACTAGTTCTAGATCTTCTGGTGTTTCTCCAACCCTTTTTCTATATCTTGTCTCCTGATGCATTTCAGTGGAAAAAACACAGCTAGTTGATAGGCACCTTATTTGACAGACATTCCTAGAAATAAGATTCAAACTGATTTGTTTTACTTGTGAGTATACGTCAACATTTTAAACAATCTATACATGAACCATGAGGTTATTATTCAGAACTGGATTTAGAAAAAAAAAACGGGGCTCATCTTTGTTCTAACCCAAAGGCTTTAGATTTTGAACTGTTAAAGAGAAGCTGTCAAAAGGGCCGACAATATTACAGAGGTCACGGTTACTGAGATGCTGTTATGCCTCAAGTAATGAAGAATTAATTAACTTAATTGGTGGCTCATATTGGACAGTGCCCTTTAAGAAACATATCTGTTATATTTCAAACCCAGAATTCTAAGACCTGAGGGCTTAAACTCTAAAACTTTTGCAAACATTTTTTATGCATATCAATTCAGGGAGTAAAAGACCTAAGAATTTGGAAAGGCAAGAGAATGAAGAGGAGTAAAGTTGATGGTTCCAGGTTCTCACAGTGCCATCTGGTCCTCAGCTTCTTATCTATTAAAAAAAGTTAATAATACTATTAAAATAACTATTACCTCCTTTAAGAGATGCAAAATATTTATGATTTCTCCTCAAGTCATTACATGGTCTCTAAGAAGGAAAATATGCCAGACAAAATTGCTAGAAAAAAACCACCAAGTTCCATCAATAAAAAATGCAGTAACAACGGCCAAGTGGTGTTGTAAGTTATGTTCAGAAATGAAAGAAATTGATGCTCTTGGCTGGCTTCAATCTACCTGTATTCAAAGAAAAGCAAGTTCTATTTTTAGATTGGAATTCTTTAGTTAGACAGAAGTCACGCTTAGTGGTGCTGGCAATGCTTTCCAATGAATCAACAAAGCTATATTTAAATTTTAGGATTTTATATCCCAACAAATTCTGGTTACCGAAAAGTAAACAGAAAAAAAGTTGTGCAATTCTGAAGGTCCCACGACTATAATAAAAGCAACCGATAGCATTCATATAGCACTTGACAGTTTATGAAGGTCTTTTCATACATTTGATTTCATTTAGTCCTCACAACAACCCTGTGAGATAAGTGTTATCAACTCTATTGCACAGAAAAGGAAATGGAGATTTTAAGCATTTTTAAGTAATTTGCCTGAAGTCATGCATTTAATAATGAAGAAAGCCAGACAAGGTGCAGAGCAGTTTTTTTTCTGTCTCCTACCCCGTTCAGCTCCAAACCCTGCCTCTCCTCACTATGAAACTATTAGAGTGGTGAGAGAGTGGAAAGAAAGCCCAAGTTATTTTTAATTAAATGTGAGGGATTCAGTCTTTAGCAGATTCTGACCTATGAATCTGGATTCTCCAAACATGAAGTAATGAGCACGTGTGTTAATATCCAGCGTAGCAAAGGAAAGCTTGTAACACTGGGCAAAACATGTTTACAGTGTTCTAGAGAAAATCTACACAGTACCTTGGGCAATCCACTTCTACTGTCCTAATAAAACTGAGTATTTCTGATACAAATCTGACTTTAAAATGACCTTGCAGTAGAAAGAAAAAAGATATCTGCAAATTGACATTATTTTCTAACCTTCAGCACCTTAGTACATAATCATCGGCTTTTCACAATCAATAAAACGGGAACCTGAAGAAGGGAACTACCAGTTCTAAAGTTACTGTTTTGAAATTTAGATTATTTATAGCTATTAATAGAACTTTCTTCTTTCTACTCTTAACCCTCATCCCCCATTCAATCAGCCTCAAGCACTCATGCCTCTCAAGGCAGCATTCTATCTCCAGGCCACTCTTTGAGGCTGCATACATGATGCATACATTGATTTTATTGGTTAAACAATTTCTGAACTCTCTTCTAATTCCTTTCAAACATTAAGGCTGATGATGAGCTCACTTTGTTCAGAAAGAAGGCCCCTAAATTATATTACTTCTAAACCAATCAAGCCTTAATTAAATCAGAAATAAAAAGAAAACAAAAGTAAAAAAACAACAACAAGCTATAAAGCCAGGTTATGATTTTTCCTTTAGAAACTTCTGTTACATTTCTGGGAGTTAGGCCTGAAAACTTTAGCGTATTTTTATTAACATTCCATGTAAAACAATTCGTAGCTTTTGACCATAGCAATGTGAAACACAACTAGAAACACAGTCTTGCATCCAATAAATTGATTTATGTTATCTCATATATTTCATCTGTTCTCATGATTTAAGCTGGATTCAGCCAATGGGCCAACGAGTCTGTTACAAGGGTCATGCTGCATGAATAAGGGGCTCAGGTTGAAACGGGAATAAATTTTATGGACTTGGAAGATTTAGGCGAGTCCTTCCAACCCATACTGTTTGTTGGGCTTCGGTTGTTAGTGTAAGAAGTCTGTCTTCTGCTCACACTATCAGAATCTTCTTTGTTGAATGTTTCCTTCATGTTTTGGCAGCACAGGAAGCTTTGGACACAGTCTTGCAGGAGATGGCCACTAAAAAACATGTATATCCAGGGGTTGCAGCAACTATTTAAGGAAGCCAATAATGCAGTGATGGTGATGGCTGGGTTTTCTGACTCTATGAAAAACATAAGGGGAAATTATTTAAATAGTCAAATGCAGGTAACTGAGTACTGGATAAACTCATTTTTCTATTGACTAATGAAAACAAAAAAAAGTTATGGGTGAATATAGAAAATGAAGTCTTGTTTATCAATCAGGGAAATAGGTGGTATATGGAAATTAGTTGGTTATAAATAGTTTCTTAAGCAAGATGCCTCGAAATTAATTCAAACATTTGAAATACGATTGAAATATTTAAGTAGAATAAGTGGGACTTCCAAGAGGTTAAGAATATTAATTTTTAAAAAATTTTTATCCTTCACACTAGCACTAGCATGTGCTAATGGATACAGCACTTACAGAAGGGCTGCAATTTCAATGACATTTCTAAAGTCTATAATCACATACACCACATTGTATTCATCCCAATAACTCAGGCAAAAGTATGACCCTAAGGACCATGTTTAGTGTTTTAAATATTTTAGTATTAAAATATTTTTATAATAAGAAAACTATACTGAATGGGGCAGCTGGAATAAGTCTTTGAAGGATGCAATATTTGTTGTTTTTCTTTGGTTAATTAGAAAATTCTTTTGATTTTATAAAAAAACATTTTTGATTGTGGTTTAAACAATTATATTATTATTAAGAACAGCTGAATTGAGAAATTCCAACAGGCTTTTGAAATATTTTATATTAATTTGCACTAGTAAACTACATACATATTATAACCTTTCGCAATAGAACTACTGCACTGATAATACGCCTTTTCTGAAGATAAGACCAATCAGCAAGCATTGTCTTTCTTTTGATTATTAAATGTAAGCCTGGGTCTTCTCACTCTTGTTATGCCAGAATAAATTACAGGTTATTTAATCATACTTTGTGCTAAGATGCTATACTTTTAAAAGTGATCATGATCCATGACTAAGATTGTATTAAAAAACAATGGAAGTCCTGAACATACCTACACATGAGCGAAGAAGGTTTTAGTAATCATGTTTAAATTCTGATAAAGCAACGACTAGACTGAATTTTTTATTTGTTTGGCAATAATTAAGAGGCCGATAAAATCAAGCAAGACATGACACAGTAAACCAAAAATATAGCATTTATGTTGTATTTTTAATTGGTAATATTATACTCATGCAAGAATTTTCATTTGTTTGAATTAAATTCACTCTCAAATATTTTATTTGCACTTATAACTTCCAAAGTTTATCACGTATACTCCCTACCGCAATCTCAAATAACAAAAGAAGGCAGTTCTTTCCAGAAACCTATTTCCTGTAATACATTTGATTTCAAAAAATCAAATGTATTCCTGTAATACATTTTATTTGAAAAAATATTTTTTCTTACTAAAAAGAAATATTTTTTTCAAGATACAATATTAAATAATTCTTTGGGGGGGTAAATTCTTGTGAAGTTAGTTTTTCTAGTTTGTAAAAGAATTAAA